AATATAAATTAAATCAAAAGAATAAATACTAGCACTTGAAAGAAGAAAAGCTGACACAAGCACAAGTCTAAATCAGATGTAGGAGCTTATTCAGCAGTCCAAAGATGCTCAAGAGAGTTCCAAAGACATAGTTTCCCATTGCTTCTCCTGTTCATGGCATTTTCTGTAATCATGACTGATGTGTTCTATTTTAAAACCTTTGTTAAAATGATTGAGGCTATATTATATGCAAAGAAGAACACATTGTATGTAAAAGAATCACAGCAGAAACCTGTGAATTAAAACAGTGGCTAAACAGAAAAAGTAAAAAAATGTTAGACAGGACAGGCTTCAAGTTGCTTGTTGTCACCTGCCTTTGTGTTAACCATATATTCATACTGCGAATATACTAGAGGGCAGTGTATTGTTCTTAGAAATATAAGGATGGACACAGGATGGTGCCAAAAATTCATATTTTCTACAGGACTCACAGCTGTGGTGGGGAGAGGTCTTCTTGGTGGTCTTCCAAACACAAGAAAAAAAAATCATAATTTTGTTTTTGATGGAATTGCTCTTTAGTCACTTAACCTCCGAAAGGTTTTACTCTCTTCATGACCAGGGCACTTTTTTCTATTCAGAACTGTGCTACTTTAACTGGCAAAAGTTCAGTTTATGAAACACTGTACCCAAATTAAATTGATATAATTTTTTCACATAAATAGTTTTCTTTTGGTGGTATTTGATCACCATTGGGATTTTATGTTTTATTAAATAAACAAAAAAAGGCCAGAAAGTTTGACCCGCACCACGATATTTTCTACTTTCTTTTATAAAATGTGTCAAATTAAAAAAGATCTAAATATCAGATTTCTTCATTATTTTAGGCCAAAATGTATTGTGTTACGTCTTTGATGAAAAAAAAAATCCAATAAGTGTATATTCATTGGTTTTTGTGAAAGTATACTGTCTGCAAACTATAGTATATATACTGGAATTTTTGCAGCTATGACACTGGTAATGGCACTGATCAGTGACTTATAGTGGAATTGTGATACTGTTTGGGTAATCTGGCACTAACACAACCTCGCTGGGAGGTACACTAACTATCTGACAGTGACGTCAGTAGTGACACTAATACAGTGATGAGATATAATATTGCACATGGTAACTGTACTAATGACACTGGCTGGGAAGGAGTTAACATTATGGAACAATCAAGGGGTTAACTGTGTGTCCAGCAAGTGTAATGTGTGTAATATGTGCTGCTTTTACTAAGTAGCTGGCTGTTTTTTCTCCCTTTCGTTTTAGATCTGCGTGCCCCCCTGTTGATGTTTCTTGCATTTTACACATTTCTTTGATCTTTTTTTGTTGTTTTTGGTCCCAACTGTTTCCAAACATTGGGGTTTTCTGAATATTGTAAAATATATTAAATTATAGCATTGTATGTTTTTAATTATTTCAGATTATCCTACTGTTGTTAGGAAAGTTTGATTTATACTATAAAAAGAACAATCTGAGATTAAAATGTCACTTTACGTTACATTACAGACTGCATACATGTAAACTCTTGTGTTTTTAAATACACTTTGAAAAAATGCAGAACTGGTTGAAATTCAGAGGTTTAAAGTGTTTGTTAACCCAGAACCAAGGTTTTTAAATACTGCAGCTTACCAGTCCTTAAATATGGGACTTCCATCATCTAATCATGTGCAAGCAAAAATACAGCTTTTTTTGTGATTGGGTAAACTTGGAAAGTGAAAATATCTATTTGCCTTAACTAAAGTGGCACTTTACCAATAACAACTTGATAAAAAAAATAATGGGATTAAGTCACAAAGTGGTAAGAACTGTGGCAAAATACCTCTCAGCGGTTTTCCAAACTTTGTCTTGCTATTCACTAAAAAAAATCCTACTAAAATACCACATGAGCTATTTTATAAAGTGATGCAATATTTTAGTAGTGAAAGCTGGCAGTATTTTAACAACCATGAATATCACGGTTTATAACTCATCTGTACTCCTCTGACAGCAGAATGTAAACAAAATAATTGCTGACATTAAAAAAGTGTTAAGGAGTCCTTTCCAATCCATACCAGGCCCTTCGGGTCTGATATGGATTTTGAAGGGAGCCCTGCAACAAAATAAAAAAAAAAATGGTGTGGGAGTCCCCCCAAAATCCATAACAGACCCTTATCCAAGCATGCAGCCCAGCAATCCAGGAAAACGAGGGGTGAGCAAGCTCCCCCTCCATCACGATACCAGGCCACATGCCCTTTACATGGGGGGTGCTTTGGGGGAATGAGGTTTCATTTATATAATAAAAAACCCAGTGGTGATAAAATACCATCAAAAGAAAGTTCTATTTGTATGGAAAAAAGATATAAATTTAATTTGGATACAACCATGATATTTCCTGGTTGTTAAGGATGTTGATGGCCCCTGGCTCCTTAGCAACTAGCTAAAATGAAATAAATTCCTTAATTATCGCATGCCTGGACCACTAGTTACTTACCACATTTATTGATTTATTTATTTCCTGCATTGAATTGATTTTAAAGCCATTTTATGAGGTATTTATCTAGCGTTTCTGCTTTTTGAGGTAAATACCTCATAAAGAGATAGTGAATTGACATTTTCAGCATCACAAGCGATATTTGGGGAAAAAAATACAGATCACCCAAATACAGCATACAATCTGCATAGTGAATGGAGCCCAATGTTCTTTAAAAAAACATACACTCCAAATTAATAACTATGCTACCAAAATGAGGGTGTGCTGTAAATTTCCTCCAGCATTGCTCCTGTTTCTTATTGCTGGAGGCTGCCATTTTGCTGAAGCCCAGAACAGCAGTAAATCTTTAGGCTGACAGCAGATCGACCTCTACATTTTTGAGAAAGTGCAGAAAATTAGAGAGCAACTGAGCATGTGCAGAGCAGGGTGAGACAGTATGTTACTGGATTTTAAACTGTATAGACATGTATTTTTAATGTTATATACAGGTGAAACTCGAAAAATTAGAATATCGTGCAAAAGTTCAGTAATGCAACTTAAAAGGTGAAACTAATCTATGAGATAGACTCATTACATGCAAAGCAAGATAGTTCAAGCCGTGATTTGTCATAATTGTGATGATTATGGCTTACAGCTTATGAAAACCCAAATCCACAATCTCAGAAAATTAGAATATTACCTGCAATCAATAAAACAAGGATTGTACATAGAACAATATCAGACCTCTGAAAAGTATAAGCATGCATATGTACTCAGTACTTGGTTTGGGCCCCTTTTGCAGCAATTACTGTCTTAATGCGGCATGGCATGGAAGCTATCAGCCTGTGGCACTGCTGAGGTGTTATGGAAGACCAGGATGCTTCAATAGCAGCAGCCTTCAGTTCTTCTGCATTGTTTGGTCTCATGTCTCTCATCTTTCTCTTGGCAATGCCCCATAGATTCTCTATGGGGTTCAGGTCAGGCGAGTTTGCTGGCCAATCAAGCACAGTAATCCCACGGTCATTGAACCAGGTTTTGGTGCTTTTGGCAGTGTGGGCAGGTGCCAAGTCCTGCTGGAAAGTGAAGTCAGCATCCCCATAAAGCTTGTCTGTGGAAGGAAGCATGAAGTGCTCCAAAATCTCCTGGTAGATGGCTGCGTTGACCCTGGACTTAATGAAGCACAGTGGACCAACACCAGCAGATGACATGGCTCCCCAAATCAACACAGACTGTGGAAACTTCATACTGGACTTTAAGCATCTTACAGTGTGTGCCTCTCCATTCTTCCTCCATACTCTGGGTCCTTGGTTTCCAAATGAGATGCAAAAGCTGCTCTCATCAGAAAAGAGGACTTTGGACCACTGAGCAACAGACCAGGTCTGTTTTTCTTTAGCCCAGGTAAGACGCTTCTGACATTGTTTGTTTTTCAGGAGCGGCTTGACAAGAGGAATACGACATTTGAAGCCCATGTCCAGGATCCGTCTGTGTGTGCTGGCTCTTGATGCACTGACTCCAGCCTTAGTCCACTCCTTGTGAAAGTCCCCAACACTTTTGAATGGCCTTTTCCTGACAATCCTCTCCAGGCTGCGGTCATCCCTGCTGCTTGTGCACATTTTTCTTCCACACAACTTTCTATTAATGTGCTTTGATACAGCACTTTGGGAACATCCAACTTCTTTTGCAATTACCTTTTTGAGGCTTTCCCTCCTTATGGAGGGTGTCAATGATGATTTTCTGCACAACTGTCAGGTCAGTAGTCTTTCCCATGATTGTGATTCCTACTGAACCAGACTGAGAGACCATTTAAAGGCTCAGAAACCCTTTGCAGGTGTTATGGCTTAATTAGCTGATTATAGTGGGACACTTTGAGCCTAGAATATTGCACCTTTTCACAATATTCTAATTTTCTGAGATTGTGGATTTGGGGTTTTCATGAGCTGTAAGCCATAATCATCACAATTATGACAAATTACGGCTTGAACTACCTTGCTTTGCATGTAATGAGTCTATCTCATATATTAGTTTCACCTTTTAAGTTGCATTACTGAAATAAATGAACTTTTGCATGATATTTAAATTTTTCAAGTTTCACCTGTAAAGCTATACCTGCAAAAGAGGCCAGTCTGAAGTGATCTATCAGTACTTAATTTTCTGACTAAAGTTCCACTTTAACCATCTCCCACCCACCATATAAGGAAATGACGGACGCAAGACGGTTCTCTTGTTCCGGGAGGACGTAATATGATGTCCTCCCATTCTAACCGAGCATGCGGGGCTCTGGGGGTGCGCAGAACGGCGATTGGTGGTGTGCTGTGTCCCTCAGACACATCGGATCACCGTTCAACAGAAATAGCTGAAGACATCGGCTCGGTCTTGTGATCAGCTATGTCCAATCACTGCTGATTGCATGTAAATAGGGAAATGCTGCTGACAGCTCGTGAGGAGTGGAGAGCTGGTAATCGACATTCCTCAGAGGGGACATGTACACTGATGATCAGTGTGCCCTGATGATCAGTGTAGCCCCAGCAGTGCCACCTGTCAGTGTCCATCAATGCCAGCTGTCAGTGCTCATCAATGCCACTTGCCAGTGCCCATCAGTGCCACATCAATGCCACACATCAGTGCCTACCAGTGCACATCAATGCCACATATCAGTGCCCATCTGATCTGCCTTTCAGTGTCACCTATCAGTGCCAGTCAGTGCCACCTATTAATGCCAGTCAGTGCCACTGATCAGTGCTGCCAATCAGTGCCACATAACAGTGTCAGTCAGTGCAACCTATCAGTGCCACCTAACAGTGCCAGTCAGTGCCACCTATCAGTGCCAGTCAGTGGCGCCTATCAGTGCCACCTATCAGTGCCACCTATCAGTGCCATATATGAGTGCTGCCTTTCTGTGCCCATCAGTGATGCCTGTCAATGCCCATCAGTGTCACCTACCAGTGCCTCCTCATCAGTGTTCATCAGTGCCACCTATCAGTGCCCATCAGTGCAGCCTATCAGTGCCCATCACTGCAGCCTCATTAGCGCACATCAGTGAAGGAGAAAATCACTTATTGATAACATTTTATAACAAAAACTAAGAAAAAAACTTTTTTTTTTCAACATTTTCAGTTGTTTTTGGTTTGTTTAGCAAAAATGAAAAAACCCAGAGGTGACTAATACCACCAAAAGAAAGCTCTATGTGTCTCAAAAATATTATAAAACTGTCATATGGGTACTGTGTTACATGACTGCGCAATTGTCATTCAAATTGTGACAGCGCTGAAAGCTGAAAATATGCCTGGGCAGGAAGGGGGTATAAGTGCCCTGTAGGCTAGTGGTTAAGTCAACTCCTGAACCTTAATAAAAAAGCAAAAAGTTGACTTAGCAAATTAGCAAAGGCTGATTGCGGGAAGATTCACAATTTCTTTGTACTTGTATGTCAGTCCTTCTGTGTCTAAAAATCAAGAAAATTGAAGCATGTGTCTGGGCACAATATAACATAATATATTCAGCACATATTTGCAATACATGCACATGTCCCATGTTTTGCTTTTAAAAATGTTACCACAACAGAAAACTACCTGCCAGAAATGAAGTGAGAAGTGCTATCATCTCATGGACTACAAAAAAAGGTGGGAGGTTTTCTGTAGCCTAGCAAGAGTGAACTGGGCAGCGTTGACAACACTTCTTGGGGTTTTAGTGCAGCAGAGACAGTGCTATCAGATCATTACGGGGGGGTTAGAAGCACACTGAATTTTTGATAGATAAACAGGTATTTTCTTTATACGTGCAGCATTTTTAAAGTGATAGCACATGAAGAAGTGTGCAAATCTTACAGAGATTTACTAAATATTTGTTTACCTAGTTTGCCCAGAAATACACTTTGGGGAAGGGATTGCTATTATCTCATTAATATATTTTTTTGCATTACATAACATTGCTATTGGTTCCAGATTTAGGCCTTTCACATGAAGAGTTTTTAAATCTATCTATCTATCTATCTATCTATCTATCTATCTATCTATCTATCTCCATATATCTAAATAAAAATACCATACACATGCATATACATCATATATATATAAGATGTACCAAATGCTATTATACAGTATACTATGACTAACAAACAATTCATTCAGTTCATGGTTTACCACTTGACATGTAATGGATTCTGCCACTTATCATTGCATGTTCTTTGTGACAACAGAGCATGCAACAGCCTTCATTGTGCTAATGGCACAACAACATCAAAACAATAATAGCACAATTTGGGAACAACAATTCTAAAACTTGAACTGAACCTCTACTTGTCAAAAGACACCTGGGAATAGGAATCACAGCTGTCAAAATGTCTAGTGTATCTCTTTAGACAAGAATATATTGTGTTCTTTGGCTCCTGAAAGGGAAATATGTAGAAGAATGCAATGAACTGAAAAATATATATCTATTGGAGATTGCTGAGGGAAAGTTTAATACAGATCAAAAGTAAGATTCTCAGAAAAATGTGCAAACTTGTAATGGTGAAGTCATCATCTTTCAGAAAATGTGTCCTAGTTAATACACTAAATATTCAAGAAAAGAGGAACTCCAATACAACTCTAGGATGTTTGCTATAAAAAGGTTGAACGTTACAGCTAAAGACATTGGGGATGTCCTCTGTCATTTTAAAGTGTTACTAAACCCATGCCCTTGCATTCACTATATCTGGTCTCCCACAGTACACAGAACATGGAAATACAATTATTTTAGTAAATATAAACTGCAAAATACGTTTTCTCATCAGCAGTTAGAGCAGTCTTGTGTCTTCTATCAGTGTCTAGCAGAGACCTGGTTAAAGATTGTAGGAGGAATTTTCATTCTTTTCATTTCTTTCACTGCCCTATGAGATTGCATAATCCCTGACCTTTTGTCTGGACAGTGCTGATTGGCCCTGTGCTGATCACATGCACCCTTCCAAGAAAAAGAACAAACTCTGTAGCAGTACACACCAAACTGAGCATATGCAGAGTGTCCCCAAGGCTCTGTTATATCGGGAGATAAAATGGGGAACATGGAAGAAGGGGAGGATCAGAGAAGAAAGGATCAAACATACTTTTTACACGATGAGGAATTAACCCCATTAAGTTCCACAGTGAGTTTAACAAGCATACTGCATAAACAGACTGATTTTACTATTGTGGGTTTAGTAACACTTTAAAATCTTTCTAAAACATCTAGTTTTTTCATCTCAATGTGATAAACAAGCATTTGTAATGCAAGTTAGCATATTAATGTCTTTAAAGAAATGTGATTCACCTATTTGTTTTATGTTAATGCTGCTAGGAAGTAGGATTTCTCCTTTACCCTGCTAAACAGTGCCCTCCAGCACTGTCTAGCAGGGTGCTAGGTAAGGTTATGCTTAGCAGGACTTTTACAGTATTTCTTTAACCACTTGTCCTCTGGAAGATTTACCCCCCTTCATGACCAGGCTATTTTAACTGACAATTGCGCAAAATTACAACGCTGTACCCAAACAAAATGTATATCTTTTTTTTTTTTCCCACACAAATAGAGCTTTCTTTTGGTGATATTTAATAACCTCTGGGTTTTTTTTATTTTTTATTATATATAAAAAAAGACTGATAATTTAAAAAAAAACAAAAACGTTTTTTTACGTTCTGCTATAAAACATCCCTTATAAAAAAAATTAATAAAAATAAATAAATAAAATGTCTTTTGGTCAAAATGTGTTCTATTACATTTTCTTGGTAAAAACAAAATCCCAATAAGTGTATATTGATAGGTTTGTGTGAAAGATTCAGCGTTTACAAACTATGGGATATATGCTGACATTTGTGTTTACTTATTTTTTTAATACTAGTAATGGCAGGGATCAGCGACTTATAACGGTGGTCAATCTGAAACTAACTGATGCTGGGGGGAACTAACTAACTGCCACTAACATCACCAGTGCCATTATTACAGTGATCAGTGCTAATAATATGCACTGTCACTGTACTAATGACACTGGGCAGGAAGGAGTTAACATCTAAGGTGATCATAATATGTTACATGTTACACCCTGAATATGGGTGTAACATGTAACATGTTATGAAAGATGAACTTATCCTTTAAGCACATGCAATGTTCTGTCAATTTAAAGGGCTATTGGTGGAGCTATGCATGGTTATTCACTGAGAGGGCTTTTAACCTCCCTGGCGGTATTCCCGAGTGTAGTTTGGGGTAAAATTTCAGTACCACAAGCGGTAACCCTGCATGGTGTCTGCCAGCAGATGGTGCTGTGCATATGCTAGATGTTGAAGCCTGGCAGAGTCTCCAAGATGTCCGGGATCAGCACGTGTGGCCAGACTCCACCATCTATGCTGCATATGCACGGCACCATCTGCTGGCAGACACCTTGGAGATTCCAGCAGGCTTACCATCCATGTTGCACATGCACAGCACCCTCTGCTGGCAGACCTATTCGATCTCCTCTCGGGATCAGTCACACAACATTTGGCTATAGACGTGTCACCCCCTTACCCATGAGCCTGTTTTTATATTCTAAGATGTGAGTTACTACTTATCTTTTTATTAAATACCTTCGCAGTACACACTTGGAGGCATTGTGTTTCTATGTTTCCCTTCTGCAGAGTTATGCTTCGCTCCTTCGCAGCTTGCCCTTAGTGCCTACTGGACTACCCTTACCCCTGCCCACTTGGAACTCATCAATACATACATGGACTGCCGCACCATGTGCCTGTTATCCCTTTTGTATGGAGTCCTTTAGATAACACAGGAAAATGCTCAGGACACAGGACAGCTCTGAACATCCGACATTATCAATATTTTTGTCCATTTATCAAACAGATATAACAAAATGCTTTCAAAATTATATTTTATAGATCTGAAAGCGAAGAGATAAGATAATGTTATTGTCTGGGTTTTACATACACTTTTTTTTAAAGAGTGCCACTGTTTAGTGTAGCAATTACAGAGTCAGTCCAAAATCTAATACTAGTAAATGTTTCAAAGCTAAAGCACCTAAGGATTGTTAAATTTCTTGAGGACTCTATGTCAGGAACATAATTGAAGGATTCAGTATGAAGAGCTTGTTACTGGACTTCCTCTGTACACAAAAAGCAAGCAAGCAGGGACCTGGTCCTTTAATTACAGTAATAGCTTCTAAGTAAAATATGTATGTGAGTTCAACTTTATAGAATGTAATTTTAAAGATGTTTAAGAGGTTCTTAGTTTATTACACTTCTTGGAAGCATATCCCATACTGCTGCACTTGTTTCCAGTCTCCTTATGTACTTATCCTTTATAATGCAGCAGTTGAAAGGGAGAATTGCTGCTTTCAACCCTTAACAAAGCAATCCAAGGTCATTGCTGCAACTCTGCAAGAGTGTTCCATGCAATTACCACAGCTGAATCTTCAATAAATAAACCAGTAAAAGTGAGGAGAGAATTTGGTCCCGCTGAGACTTGGCACCACTGTATCACAGATATATGTTTGGAATAGAATGCTTTGCTTTTGTGTTAGAACAGATTCCAGTAACTGCTGATCATCAATAACAGAAAACTGACCCACACACTGTAATCACAGTACATATACTGTGTATATATATATATATGTTATATATATATAATTTTTGGTATTTAGTTATTTAATATTTTTAATAATAGCATATGTGGAAGATGAAATTTATGTATTGCTTCATAGGACAACCATTGCTTGTTTTTGTAACCAGGAACTGAAAGTCAAAAACATTAGTTTTGTGCTTTCTAACTCCAACAGCCTGTCTTTGTGTGGCAGCGTGACAACTGTGTCAAATAATTTAAATTATTGAAAGCTTATAGTTAGCATTGACAATTAGTTAATTATGATTTTGTGACTGTGGTAAACAATGATGCCTATGACAGCTTCATCAATGACGCTGCCAGCAGTGAGTCCAATGATTTTAAAATAAAGAGTTGTGCTCCAGCAATGTTTTTAAATTGAAGTAGCATCAGAAATGACACAACCCCCCCTTTAGCTGTAGGGAAAAGTAAGAAGGCAGATGGTTGATAGGTTTCACAAACCAATTCATTCATTTCTAATTTT